GAGAGAGAGAGAAAGGAAGCACCGCTGGATCTGAATGGGAGGGAATTGTGATGCTTTAATTCAAACTGAATGGCAGAGTGACGGAATCAGGTGGTAAATATCACCGTATTGTCCCTTCAGACATTTGGACACTTCACTTTATTTGGAAACTTTCATCAAATCATAACAGCTTGCTCCGCCCCACAACCGACTTTCTTTTTCTGCTGACATTATCAGACCACTTACTTTTAGACTCCTCCCTTTCAATAACCTTTCATCAAAAAAGTAACAACTTGCTCCACCCCTCAAACGACTTTCCTTTTCTGATGACATCATCAGACCCCTTAATTTTATTCTCCTCCCCTTCAGTAATCTTTTATCAAAACATAACTTGCTCCGCCTCTCAAACGACTTTCCTTTTCCGCTGATATCATCAAAGCTACTTATTTTTAGACTCCTCCTATTCAATAGAATTTTATTGAAATGTTCAACTTGCTCTGCCCCTCAAACAACCTTTTTTTGTTGCTAACATCATCAAGGCCACTTATTTTTTAAGACTCCTTATAGAGATACTTTTCACCTCCTATCAATCCCTAATAATGGCGCTATATACATTTTTGGTTACGCTTTGTTTTAAGGTGTAGATGCTACAGTCTAATTACACAAATAAGTTCTGAGTAATATTACTTAACTATAGTACATGTACTTACTAAGTTTAGGGTTGACTTTTTGTAATTTTGCATAACTTACTGTTATTACACTCTTAAAAATGCTGGGTTAAATACAACCCAGCGCTGGGTAAAATATGGACAAACCCAGCGATTGGGATGTTTTGACCCAGCGGTTGGGTTACTGCCCAGAAGGTTGGGTTAAACATTTAACCCTGTTGGTTGAAAACAACCCAATCGCTGGGTTTGTCCATATTTAACCCAGCATTTTTTAGAGTGTACTATATAGTAGCAAGTACATGCAACATGTAACTATGTCACATTGAAATAAACTGTTACTTATCTGAAATATCTCAGATTATGGCAATAAAATGTAAAACTGTTGATTTTAAGTGTAGCTCAAACACCCAATTACTTTTGGGGCTAATATACTGTATAAACCATGTTATTGTATAACTGACATATTCATGCAGCCACCATAGTTTTCGGTCAAAAATATCATGGTATTCTTGGAAGTAGCATTTACTATGGTACATGGTATAATACCATCACATGCCCCAAAAAACACAGTAAAACCATGGTATGTTTTGCAAGATGAACTACAATGAAATGTATAAACGGTGTGCGTGATCTGGTGTATAATAGTGAAAGTGGAAAACACCATCTGTGAAGAGCACAAACAAGCGTCATAACGGTTGCTCTTGAAAAACAACAGGTTTGTTTAAGAAAAAGAAGACACAACCAACACCAAGTATGATTTTCTACACTTAGTCATTGAGTTGCACCACAGTGAACTGCATTTCTGCTTTGTTTCTGCTTCATTTCAGTTCCTTAAATGATACCGGTGAAGCAATAATGGCTGAAAGCACCAGTGAAATCCATCAAGTCGAGCTCAAGTTGGGTTCTTATAGCCCAAAACATCCAACCTTCATTCAAAACTCAAGATTAAACACATTAAAGGTTGCATGATAGCTTATCTGGAGCTGCAGAAGATAATGAATGCCTCACCAGAACAATGGCACAGATTCAGTTCAAATCATACAAAGTTAGCTTTCTTATTGTGTATTAACTAAAACAAACTGTTTTACGTACTCACCTCAATCCAGAAGTACAAACAACAATCCACAACTAGCAAAAACGTCCTCCTCTGAAGCTAACACACCACTTTCTGGCAGCTGAAGCGTCTGAAAAGAGCAGAGTGCTGCGTTAACCACAGCCTGAAACACACAACACTGCTACAACTTCCTCTTCAGACTGACACTCAGTGCAGACACATGGCCTTTACATGAGCACACACACACATGAGGCCCTTCTTTCAGAGGTGGTACGATCAAAACGTGTCGATGGTGGACGCTTGAATTCAAACTGTAGAAAAACCCAGCCTTTTTGTGCATATGATGTGATGACTGCATAGTTCCCATACGAATGAGTGCACTTGTGCAGGGGTTTGGAGGAGATGAGCAGAAACGCTGGTGGTTAACGTGGTGAACGAACCCCTTCAAAGAGCTTGTTTTGCTTAAACTAGCTGCTGTTCACACTTGACTGACTACTACAGAAAAAACGTGCCATTTCCTGCTATCTAACTGTACTATTGCTCTTATGACGACCCAGTGTAGAGAAACTGTGAGTCTCTACAGACTTGAGGGTCATGTTATGGTTTTAAAAGACATGTAAATACCTAGTATATAAATAAGGCAACCATTCAGTTCAACAGTACATGGGTGTTTCTTTGTTTCTGGTACTTTGGGAGCAATGTTGGGCAGTAACACGTTACTGTAATTTGATTACTTTTTTAGTAACGGAGTAATTTAACGCGTTATAATGTTCAAAATAGTAATTAGAGTATAGTTACAAGCCAAGGTCTCTATACGTTACTGCCGCGTTACATTGCTGACAGAATGCAGTGTTTTATAATCTAGAGATTGTAAAAAGGATGTAGCTCACGCACTGTTGAGTCAAGTGCCAGTGGATTAGACCTGCTCCCGCGAGACCCGAGCGCGGGACAAGATGGGCGAGTGCTGGTGCGGCTCGTAGACACTCGTGTGTGTGCGGGATGCGGGAGAATAAAATGATTCACGGGACTCTCGCAAAATAGAAATATCTAAAACAAATAAATTGTTATTCAACTATTGCACAAAAGCAACATGAACTAATATAAAATATAAACGATTAACAGGTGCAAGCGTATGCAGACTTTCTATTTAGGCTAACAAGTGTTTGCAGCATTGAGCAATGCAGTACTGAAATTTGCGTGCTCACGAATCCTCTCATAACACACGAATTGTAGGCATTATGAAAGATTCATTATGCATATATTTATTGTGTTATAACAGAGATTTGTGAGATTGCGATGAACTGAGATGTCTTTTAGAGATTATAAATGCAGCGCTCTTTGCTGGCATTCTGCCATCCAAACCATGCACGCAGCAGCCGTTTGCTTTAGTTAAAAATAAGTGTTCTGTGAATGTTGATGCTTTAATAACAAATATTTATCGGGAGCGTGTATGCTGGGATTTCATAAATTTCATGGAGAAAAAAGTAACGTAACTAGTAATGTAACTAATTACTGATTACTTTTGAAATAAAGTAATCAGAACAGTAACGTGATTAGCCTACTTTTAAAAGGAGTAATCAGTAATCTGATTACATTTTCAGAGTAACTTGCCCAACACTGTTTGGGAGACAAACTATGTGAGAGTAAATGTTACTCTTAACATTTACTAACAAATTATTAAAATCAAAAGTTAATAGACCCGAGCTGACTTGAACTGCATTTTTTTTATTAGCCTACAATGATTAATAAATACTGGAGCAAACTGATCTTTCTTTAACAAAAGTGTTACTGTTTAATACATGATAAACAGGAAAATTCTGTAATTTTTCTGAAAATCATCAACATTTCCACTAGTGTAATTTTTACCACATTTCAGATCGTATCTTCTGATATGGAAAAGATGATGGAAATGACATTTTATGGAGAAAAGTTGTAAAATGAAGCCAAAAGTTAGGAACAATCTTAATTTGTCATATTTTTACAACAGACTTTCATAGTTTAAGATGTAAGTATAGAGTATACGGTAAGAAAATCTATTCATAAAAGGCATGTCAGAACTTTCCAAAACTTTTTAATATGATATATTTACGTTTTAAGAGGTGCTTTCTGTGGCTTTCTGTGGCAAGAAAATAAAACATTTCAGAAAAATAACATACATTTACAGGTTTACAATGTTTTTAAATAACAGCTAAAACCTTTAAATGAATACATTTTAAATCATTTACTTGCCCTTATGTCTTTTCATTCATTTCTGTTTTCTTTTGGAAAATTAAATGTCAATTTTTTTGATTTTGGTTGTTCTTTTGCATTTAAGGACTGTTGCCTTTATCTCTCTTAAACATAAAAATTAAACCATTTATTATCTTGGGAACAGACACAACTGCAAGTCATTTTTTATCTAAATTTTTAATTCATAAATTTCATATAAACAGTTAATTGTTGAATAATTTACACACAGCAAGATTCATTTTCATTCCATTCCAACATTTACTGTACATGTCACTGCTTGGCTTTCCTTGAAAAACTAAAACGGTCTATTCGTACTAGTTAATCATGGCACAGTTTGATCCTGGTCTGATGGATTTGTTGGTTTGTTTAAATAAGTGACGGTGGTTTCCATATGCAACGTAAATGGCACAAATTCAACCAGCGAGGGGAAAGTTTTGATGGGAAGGTGTGTGTTGGTGATTAAATAACATTTTCTACAATAAAGGTGAATGATGGGACAGAAAAACAGCCGTGGGGATCGTCTATGTGCACAGAGAAAACAAACAAAACGAAACAGCAAGGATAAACGAAACAAACAAAATGATCAAACGTTCAACTAAACAGAAAATTGTACAGGACGACAGTTAAAAAAATACACAAGGGCGCTGATTATTTGATGTTGAAACAGGCCAGACAACCTGAAACGCCCATCATATATAAGACCCCAAAAGATGTCAGATTTACATAAGAAATAAACATTTTACACATTCAATATTTAAAACAAAAAACTTAAATTGATGCTGTATCTGAGGCTGACATGAAAAAGTTGTTCTCTGTAACCTATGGAAGCTCGTTTCCGCTTAAAAAACAAACAATCAACTCAGATATTAACTTTACAAGATATAAATTCACAATTCTAAGGAAAATGTCAGAATTACGAGATATAAACTCAATTCCAAGTTCTCATCTCACAATTTTTACTTTTCTCTCTGAATTCCAAGTTCACACCTCACAATTCTTTTGATTTAATATTTTATTTATTTCTCGTAATTTGTCGAGTTTGTATTTCGTAATTCTGACTTTATATCTCACAATTCAGAATTTTTTCTCACCATTGTGAGTTTATAATCCTACAAATTTTTTCCACACATTTTGGAATTTTATTTAATTTTTTTTCAAAATTGCGAGTTTACATCTTGAAATTTGACTTTTCACAATTCAGACTATTTTTTTCTCACAATAGCGAGTATATATAATACAATTCCGATTTGTTTTTCTCAGAATTGTGAGTTTATATCTGAGAATCTCAGAAATGTGAGAACAAAACTTACAATTACATTTTTGTTTTTAATCTCAAGGCGGAAACAAGCTTCCATAGTAACCTGTTTGTGTAAGTTCTCAATCATTTCAGATGTCGACTATACCTTTATTTTTGCGTGATTGTAGCTTATAATAAAGTCTGCAGTGGTCTTTTCCAGTTTTTCACATTGAAAAACAATTGTTTATTCAAACGGTCACCTTCATGAACGTAGAGGAATTGTCCGTATTGTACAAAGAAAAGGGTAACAATTTACAAATACAACATGCTGACAAAGGATATGCAATCATTTCTTGGATGGCAAACAAGTAGTTGTACATGAAAAAAAAAAAAAGAAAATCAAACAACAATGCAATGTCATACAAAGAACATCATTGTAGGCCAAACCTCTGAACGGTTTGTCATCCGATCAGTTTGTGGAGTAAAATCGATGTCATTTATATCTCTGAATCACAGTGTAATGCCATGAACAAAAGACATCACAATTTTATCGAAAAGAAATCTATATACATTGATAATGTTAATTCCGTAATGTACATGAATAGTAAAAGTTTACAGTCAAAAAAAGTAATCGAATCTGCCCTCCCTATTTTGACTAAAAAAATAGAAATTAATATCTCTAAGTGTAATACTTTTTCCTTTTAAAAACAATAAAATACATACAATGCCTTGCACTCGACCTGTTCTGCTTTTCTAGCTTGCTGTAGAAAACCGCATTAGGGTTTTTTGTTACTAGGTTATTTAAGGTCATTTATCAAAATTATATTCTCTCAATTTAGACTTTTACACTGGGAGTTGCCAAAGTTGTTGTTTTGGGTAACAGTGAATCAATCGTACGACGTTGGGTGGTTTGTCAAGCCACAAAGCAAGCCTTAGCATATCCAAGAAGAGACAAGTTCAGCTTAATTAAAAATAAAAATAAAGGAATATCATTCACATATACCAATACAGTAAAACCGAGCCAAGCATTGAGCCAAAGATGTGCTAACCTGTCCAGAAATCTGTACAATAGGCTCCAGTATTTTGATGATGTTGGGTGAAAAACAATCCGGTCCAGGGAGTTTGTTGGCCAGGTTTGGCTTGGAGGATACTTAGGTTTGTGCAAGGCACTATGGATCCACCAGGGGGCGCTCAATTTATTCCCCGAAACACATTTGAGAGGCAACGAAAGATGCGAAATGCTTTAGAGATGCACGACTGGCATCCAAAGTCATCGTTTTTGCAGTTTTCCATCCGTTTTTCTCGTACGATTAAGCTAGCTGTGGATAAAATTGACGCTCCTCCGATAAACAAAACCCAACGCTCACATCTCCCTGAGGAAAATAAAACGTTTCTATGGCACATAGGATTGTCCGCGAGAGTATTTATGAACGCATGTGTAAGGAGAGGCAGGTGAAGTCCGTGTTTACTATAAACTATGGCATTGATAGAAATTTTCACAGTAGAAAACACATGGAACAAAAAAAAAAAAGACATTGACAATCACATTTGGTGCAAACAAACCAAAAAAACCAGTGAACAAGTTTTTGTATGTGAAACTACTTAACTCAGGGCATTAGAAAGTTTGTTCGGTAAGATACTGCAGTGAGCGAAGAAGAGCTGTTTCACCTAGTGAATCACAAATGGTTCCCTGTTGAAAAAACCAGCATATGCTGGTAGGTATGTTTTGACGCTGGGATGCTGGTTTATGCTGGTCCTTTTGCTGGTTTATGCTGGTCCTTTTCCAGCACATGACCAACATAAACCAGCAAAAGGACCAGCTTAAACCAGCATCCCAGTGTCAAAACATACCTA